GGCATTCCTCCAGCCTTTGGTTTTACATAAAACAAACACTCCCGGCGAGCTCCCCAGCTCGGCCAGGCAACCGTGCTGCTGATTTAGGCCATCTGGGGACTGTCCCTCCCTTGTATTTAGATTTCGGGGCCAAGTTCAGCATTTGTGAGATACTTTACAAGCCTCGGCCAAGGGGCCACCGGGAGGTTGGAGCGTTACCGGCACATCAGAGCAGCTGCCCTGGCCAGCAGCTCCCATCACCATCACAGCCTCCAAACAAGCCACCGCATCCTCCCCTCGATGCCCCTGCCCATGAAACCTTTCCATAGTGGCCAAAGTCGCCCTCATCCCTCAATGCTTCACTCCCAGCTCATCCCAAGGGGTTATGGCAGCACGGTGGGGATGCTCCTGCCCGCCCAGCCCGGCCCCGTCCTGCCCAGAGGGAGCAGGACACAGAGCCCTTTTCTCCTCCTCTCGCTCTGGGAGAGCAGAGCAGATCCTGTGACATTCCCACTGCCGGCGCCTTCACAAAGGAAACCAGGCCAGGGCAGCTTCGCTGCCGCCTCTCCAGCTACCTACCAGGGAAAGCTGCTCTGTAACCGGAGAGACTTTGCAGGCAGGCTGGCAGGCAGTGCTGCCCATCCTGGGGCAGGGAGCCCAGAGCGTGGCCAAGTCCCAGCAGGGCTTTGGGGAAAGGGGAGGGGACAGGACCTGCAAGCAGGAGTGGAGGACAAGAGAAATAAAGTGAACTGACAGACCACGGGCTGCTTCCCACCTGCTCTCTCAGCCCTTCGGGACCACAACCTCCAAGGAGCAGGAGACTCAGGTCCACAGAGACACCATTTCCCCTGCAAATGGGTGGCTGTTTGCAGGACAGCAGGGTCCTGCAGCCAGCAGGGATGGTGGGACAGCTCCAGCCAGGGACTGCATGCCCTGATGGTGCAGGCTTCCACCAGCCTTCCCCACCTCATCCCACTTAGCACCAGTGGCTGAAAGAAAGAGGCCAGTGCACGGGTGCAATGAGTCCAGCTGAGTTCCCACACATCCTGCCCTCAGCTCATCCCGGTCATGGGCTGGGATAAGCCAAACCCATGGAGGGGAAAAGCATCCCGGCCAGCCCAGCAGGCTCCAAACAAGCCTTCCCAGCTCTGCCACACAGGCAAAAGCCCCAGGCAGCACCCTCCAGCTAAAAGATGAGAGGATGCTCTCCCCACCCTGCCGGGTGCTGGGGCAGGGGCTGCTCTGGACCAGTCGGGTCCCTCACGCTGCCTGGGGCGAGGGAGAAGCCAGGCAGGGAGGACAGGCTGGCTGCTCAGCCCCACTTTTTGGTGTGCTGCCCCTCGGGGATCCGGCTCAGGAGGTCCTTTGATGATGCTTCCTGGCAGACGGCTGCTGGAGACACGGCACGGATCACACCCCGCCGCCACCAGACCCGGGAGGGGACCAGCCCGCTGTCACACCCTCACGTCGGGCTCCCCAGCGAGCCTTCCCAGGGCCTGGGGGCAGACAGTCCTGTTGGTGCGGGCAGCCCAGGCGCCCCAGTGACCGTCTGTCTCCTCCCCGGCACGAGTGACAGGTCTGATCCTGTCCTTGGACGCTGCTGCAAGTTCAGCTGTGGGATGCGTGGAGCAGCCCCAGCAGCATTTCTGGAAGCAGAAAGGCAGCGAGGGTCGGAGCCGGGGCCGGCGGGACGGCTCACCAGGGCTGGAGGCGAAGCTCGGCTCTCGCCAGGGCTATCGGCACGTCGGTCAGTGCCAAGCTGGGGAACTCACCGCCCCAGCACCGGCACGGCGCTGCCAAAAGCGGAGCAGCACTCCCCGAGGGACTGCCAACTACCGAGAACCAGCCAGAGTTCAGCGAAGAACTGTTGGCAGGACACGCCAGAACACGCACAGGACCATAAATCCTCCTGCTTCGGGGCCGTTTCCGAGGGGAAGGGTCCCGGGGCGAGGAGGGGCCGTTTCCGAGGGGAAGGGTTATCT